ACATATTTATTTATTCCATTTCCATTCTCAGGACCCTATAGGCAGGAGAGAACTGACCCATGACATTTCCAAGACTGTGAATTTTTACAGAAGCAGATTGCTGTCTTTTTCTCCCGCAGAGAAATCGGTGGATTCAAACTGGCAACCTTTTCGTGAGTAGCTGGGTGCTTTAACCACTGTGTCACCAGGGTTTTGATCCCGGCTCTGCCTTTCTCTCACCCACTCTCCACCAGCCTTGAGCACTGTGAGGACCACAGGTCCAGGCCTGGCCAAGCTGGTACCCACTTCCTCTCTTGTGTCTCTCTCTCCTTCCTCTTTCTCAGGCCCCATCTCACCCCGCCTTCCCCTTTCCTCACCAGGTCTGTCTTCAGATCACACCCTCTGATACTAGCACCCCACTCTCACCCCCTTTTCAGTCCAGGGGCAAACCCAGCAGGCGAGGAACCATGTGGAGCAAGTCTGTCCGGTTCCTAGCATCTCTGTTATGTGTTAGGTGCCCTCCAGTCAGGTCTATTCAGCTCTGGTTCTGACTGGTAATGAATAACAGAACAAAACGTGGCCGGTGCTGGGCTGTCCTCACAATCAGTGTGATGCCTGAGCCCCTTGTCCCAGCCCCTGTGTCAGTCCGTCTCTTTGAAGGGCTTCCTTTTTATCTCTGACCCTCTACCAAGTGTGATGTCCTCCTCCAAGAAGGGGCGCCTCCCTGGCAACATGCCCAGTGCGAGAGATGGAGTCCCACCACCCTCTCTGCCTCTAAGGAGTGTTCTCACTGTGCCTCCTCCACAACATATGTGTTTCTTCTCCTGGTCGTCCATGTGTTCAATGTTCCTCTCTGACACCATCAGTCCAAGGACCGGCGAGGGCAACTAACAATAAGCTGATCATTCTAGAGTTTTCCTTGGTTTCCAGCTTGTTCCACGTGGTGTAATGCTTCGAAGAGTCAGCCACATAGTAGACCACAACAGAGCTGCGTTTCATTTCATGACTGATTCATACTCTGTTAAGCACCGGTGGCCTAGGGGCAAGAAACTGCGCTGCGATCCTGAAGACACGCGGTTTGAATCCACCAGCTGCTCTGCGGGGGAAGAAAGTCTAATCTCCTCCTGTGAAATTAACTGCCTCTGAAAACCCACTAGAGGGTCAGCTATGTGTCGGTTCCAATTCTACGGTACAAAACAACAACAACACACACACAAAAAGTCTAGTGTAAATTTATATATATTGTTGGTGTTATGTGCCATCAAGTCAACCGGGACTCATAGTAACCCTATGAACAATAGCTCTGAACCCTACCCTGTCTCCGACACACCTTGCCCCCATTACCCCAGTCACTGTGTCAATGTATCTCATCAAGGGTCTTCCCCTCCTGCGCTGTCCCTCCACCCTTCCAAGCATGATGTCCTTCTCCAAGGACTGGTCCCTCCTGGCAACATGCCCAAAGTATGTCAGATAGAGCGTCAAAATACACACAACACACACACACACACACACACACACACACACCCCTCTGCACTATGACCAAGGCATGCCCGCACGCCAATGTCCTTTCATGCCACATTGTGTCCATTCATCAACTGGGTTTTGAAGGATGTGTAGGAGTGCGCCGGCTGAATGAAGTCTCAAGTTAAAGTGAAGTGTTTTAGGAAGAGGAAACGGGAAGGGCGAAGCTGGGCCTCAAATGTGAGTGTGTGAAACCCAAGTGGCTTATATCTAGAATCTCCAGAGCAGAGGGGAGGGAGGGAAGTGGTGAGCTGGGTGGAGCCACACGAGAAGAGACCACAGACACCAGACTGAGACACTCAGGTCTTATCCTGGGACGATGGTGAGACACAGCCCAGCTAACCTCGAGCAACTCCAGCACTCAGGTGGGGAAACTGAGGCCCATTCTCAGACCCTGCTTGTCCATCTCTGATTTCCAAGCAGGAGACCTTACTGTCATCATCTGTCCACTCTAAACGGCCCACCTGTCCCTACCCAAGGGGCCAGGCTTCCAGCTCTCCCCATCTCAGGTGATGCCTGTCCCCCCCCCCATCTGCTGGTGAGCTCAGGACCTGAGGGAGCAGGGTGAGTAAACTGAGGCCCACAGAAGAGGACGGGGAGACGAAGCTAAGCTGCAATGGTGGGACGGACCCGAGTTCAAATCCAGCCTCAGCCTCTGCTTTGCTTTGGGAATCTGAGTGATTTGCATAGCGTTGCTAGGAAACCCTGGTGGCCTAATGGGTAAGGAGTTGCACTGCCAACCCAAAGGCTGGCGATTCAAATCCACCAGCCGCTCCTCAGAGGAAAGATGAACAATCTCCTCCCATGCCGTTTACAGCCTCTGAAAACCCACTGGAGGGTCAGTTATGAGTCCCTTCTGACTTGATGCCAATGAGTTGTTGTGGCATAGTATTCCTGTGAGTGTGTGTGTGTGTGTGTGTGTGTGAGAGAGAGAGAGAGAGAGAGGAAGATTGTTTATGGGTGCTTGGGTTGTTTCCATCTCTTTGCTAATTTAAATAATGTTGTAATAAACCTGGATGTATGTGTATCTGTTTGTGTTGAAATACATGGATACATTATCTATATATGTATTGATAGCTAGATCGATGAGAGAGATAGAGATAATGTCTTTAGGGTACATAGTTAAGGAGCGTTGGGGGCGCAGCAGATTAAGCATTAAACTACTGGCTAGAAGAAGGTCAGCAGTTTGAATCCACCAACCACCCTGTGGAGACAGACATTCTCCTGTGAATACTGACAGCCTTAAGAAAAGAGGGGATAAATAATGTACACAGCATTGAAACAGACAAGGTAGAGAACGATATAAAAAGAACATAGGATTAGGTATTATTGGCATGACAAGAGTTCAGAATAAGAGCTGCATAGTAAAGTGTTCTGGGGTGTGGTGGGGGACTGTATAGCAATGAAAGAACTTTTTTTCCAAAGAAAAAGGCGAACTGGGGTAGGGGGAGGAGGACAGGGAGGGAAATGTGCAAAAAAGGAAAGAATGGAAATCCAAGTTCTTTATCAACTGTCATTAAAATCTAAGAACAAAAGTCACAAACAGACAAACAAACAAACGACGCCCGCTCGAGCCGGGGCTCCACTTGAGTAGCAGCTCCAGGGAGCTCATCGCCACGGGGGTCAGAAACGGCTCACAGCTGACCCTTCCTCAGGTTTCCAGAGGCTGTAAACGGCACGGGAGGCCACCACGCATCTTTCTCCCACGGAACAAACAGGTGGATCTGAACCGCCGGCCTCTGTGTTGGCAGTTCCACGGTTCTAACCACTCGGCCACCGGAGCTGCCTTAGCTCGACGGCAGAGCTTGCTGTGCTCGATGCTGTTTGGGTTTCCAGTAAGGACGTGGTGGTCCACAGCTTTTAGCCTTCATTGCATTATTTGACAGCCTGTCCCCGAGAAGCCCCGGTGGTATGGTAGTTAAGCTCTGGCTGTTAAGTGAAAGCTTTGTGGTACCAGCCCACCAGGCATCTCTTGGGTCAGTGGGGAGATAGTCTGGTCCCATAAAGGTTCCAGCTCTGGACAGTTTAACTGCCCCACAGGGTCACCTGGAGACAGAACTGACCGCACAACAGTGGGACACATCAGCCATGATCCTACTTTTAAACAAGGTCATGGTCACGGGTACCAAGGATGTTTGGGGGGGGGGGCATTGAGTCCGGCAGAATGCTAACATTAGGAGCGATGGGTCCCCACAGGACTGGCCAGCCCATGGAGGACTCCTCAGCAGTGACCCAGTGTCCGGAGCCCCCTGGAGGCCTCTGTCCATCCTGGGCTGTCCTCGGCCTTCTCTATTTCCTGGTCATGCTCATCGCATACCTCTTGGATGTGGCCAGCCACGGCCTGCTGACCCAGGAGTCTGACCCTCACCTGCCGCCCTCCCTGGTCGCCACCTGGTTCGGCCACCAGGCTGCCGCTGATGTCACCTTCACTGTCATCCTGCCGCTGACCGTCGCCTGGACCGGCTCAGCCTGGCCCCTTGGGGTCACCTTCTACCGCTTGGACCCCGACCTGGCCATCCTGACCTTCTATGCCAGCGGGCGCCTGCTGACCCGCACTGCGGCCGGAGCCTTCACCACTGTGCAGTGGCCGTCGTGGGGGGTGACCCTCCGGGCCCCGCGCACAGCGGTGTCCGGGGCTGGCACCGCCTGGCTTCTCCTGCTGATCACGTGTGGACCGTCCCTGCGGACCTGGAGTTACCTTGTAAGCACGGCTGAGTCCTCCAACGGGACACCTGGCTGGGATTTCCCAGGCCCAGCCCTGAACCAGCTGGTGTTTGGTTTTGGGGTGCCACTGGGGGTGCTGAGTGTGGTCCGCTGGCTAGTGGGCATGCACCTGCAGCTGGCCCGGCTGACGGGGAGGCCCCCTCTGGTAGGGTCTCCATGCGCCCTGGGTGCCCTGCTGTTTCTCTGCTGCTTCCCCTTCCACCTGCTGCTTCTGCTGCAGCTGATGGGCACGCGGGAGGCCGCACTGAGCACAGAGGACGTCTGGGTGCTGCTCAGACCCCTGGGGTTTACGCTAGCAGGGTCCAGTGCCTTTCTCAACCCTCTGTTTTATGTGTGCAGGGGCTGGGCCTTAAGGCAAGAGCTGGGCCAGGCACTGCTGTGTTGCCACCAGGAAGTGGGGGCCGGGGACTCCTGTGAGCCAGCTTGAGGCCAGAGGCTGGGGAACTCTGTGAAGAACTGGGACACGTTCCTGAGAAGCAGACAGGAACCCAGAGAGAAGGGAGCAGAAACCCAGAGAGGGAGGGGGGCAGAGATGCAGAGAGAGAGAGACAGACAGAGATGCAGAGAGAGAGGGGAGACAGAGACTAAAAGAGAGAGGGACAGAGACCCAGAGAGAGAGGGGGACAGAGACCCAGAGAGAGAGGGGAATGGAGACCCAGAAAGAGAGTGGAACAGAGACCCAGAAAGAGAGGGGAACAGAGACCCAGAGAGAGGGGGAGACAGAGACCCAGAGAGAGAGGAACAGAGACCCAGAGAGAGGGAGGGGAACCGAGACCCAGAAAGAGAGGGCAACAGAAACCCAGAGAGAGAGGGGGACAGACACCCAGAGAGAGAGGGATACAGAGACCTGGGGGGGGGGGGACAGAGACCCGGGGTGGGGCAGAGGCCCAGAGAGAGAAGGAGATGGAGGACCGTGGAGAGGTGGGGAGAGGGGGTTGGTGGGTGGGCAGAGATCCAGAGAGAAGGTGGGTACAAAATGCAGAAGACATGAACAGAGGGGAGCCCTGGCAGGGATGCAGACGTGATGGAGGCACAAGAGGCAGGCGAGACCCAGGTAAGGTGGTGAGAGACAGGTAGGCTCCCACCAAGTGGAAGATGAGACTGAGAAAGATGGAGAGACAACGACCTGATGAGAAACAGGAACACAGAGGAGAGATGGAAATAGACCCAGTAGGAGGCCAAGGCCAAGGATGGAGGATGAAAGGGGAGACAGAAGCAGGCAGACGGACGTTGCACGTCATGGAGGAAGTTTGTGCCCCTAATGCAAAGACTGTTCCTGGGGTGAAGGATGGGCAGTGTCCTCCCGCGCGATTTACAGCCTCTGAAAACCTGCTGGGCGTGGGGCTCAGCCAGGAGCTGGTTCCCACTGGACACCAGTGGATTTGCGTATTTTTAGTTAAATCTCTACTGGCTCTGTGCACATTATTAGGAGGGCCTACTCCTTAAAAAAGGACATGATTCTGGGAAAGGAGAGGGTCAGTGAAAGAGAAGACCCTCCACGAGATGGACTGGCTCAGTGGCTGTAACAATGGGCAGAGACTGGGGGGTCGTGGCGCTGGACTGGGCAGGGGTTCAGTCTGCTGGATATGGTGGGGTCGTGGGGAGTTGGAGTCTATTCAATGGCACCTAACATGTTCCCAATCATAAATCTTCATTTTCTAAGATCTAAAGGTCTGATGTTATCTATCCATGGAGCTGCCAGAGCTCTTGTTTTCTCCAGGGGCATTTCTCTCTCTCTCTCTCCCCCTCTCCCTCTCTCTCCCTGTCTGTTTGTCTGTTTCTTTGTGCCTCTCTGTCTGTGTCTCTTTGTATCTCTGTCTCTCCCTCTGCGCTTCTCTCTCTGTCTCTGTCTTTCTCTCCACCACTCCCTCTCCCTCTTCCTCTCCCTCTCCCTCTCTCTCCCTTTCTGTCTCTCTTTGCCTCTCTCTGTCTCTTTCTATCTCTGTCTCTCCCTCTGTCTCTGTGTCTTTCTCTCTGTCCCCCTCTGTCTCTCTCTCTCTGTCTCCCTCTGTCTCTCTCTGTGCTTCTGTCTCCCCATGTCTGTCTCTCTGTCTCTGTCTCTCCCTCTGTCTCTCTCTGTGTCTCTCACTTTCTCTCTCTCCTCCCTCCCTCTCTCTCCCCCTCCAGGAGTGGCCTCCTGACCCAGACTGCACGTTCCAATCTCCTGGGACCTTTTACAGTGAAACTGAGGCCCATCCCCAGGCGCTGTGGTTTCAACGTTCTGTGACAAGGCGGCTTCAGCGTTTTAAAAGCTCCCCGGGGGCGCTGCAGGCTGCCATCCATCTCCGCGCGCCTGTGGTTGTGAAAAGGCAACTGTGATGGCTCCCTGAGGACCAACTGGGCTAAGTGGTGGAGGCTCCACTTTCAGAAAGGGCAACGGGGAATGGTGTTGCCAAGATCTCATTCGTTAGGTCTTTCTTTTTCCAAGAGTCTGGTGCAGGCATGCAGGCAGTGAACAAAAAGCTGGTGGGTCAGAAAGGGCTGGAAAGAGGCCCGGGGGCCTGGTTCTGCTCTGAACACGGGAGTTCACTGGGTGTCAGAACCTACTGCCAGCAGCTGACCCTGGTGGCATTAGCTGCTGTTGTGTCTGTCCTCAACTCCAGCGAACCCGGAGGACTGAACTCCACCAGGTTTTACTTGGTTGTCAGCATGCAAGGATTGCCAGGTCTCTCTTCCGTGGTGCCTCTGTTCTCTCTCTCCCTCATTCCCATCCTATCGGTTCTGACCCCTCACTGACCCCTGGGTCTCTGAGGCTCCAAACCACACAGGAAGAGACTGTCCATCCTTCTTTCTTGATTTTTTTAAATTTTATTTTATGGGTTTTTTTGTGTGTACCTTCAAATCAGATCTGACTGGTACAGGAGGAAATTACCCCTCCTTCTCCAGCAGAGCATCTGGTGGATTCGAACCGCATACCTCTGGGATCGCAGTGCAGCTTCTTGCCACCAGAGCTCCCTTGTTGAAGAGTCACTGGTGGATTTGAACCCCCAGGGAGATGTGGCCTTTGGGTTAGTGAACCCCCCAATGGACCATCGTACCAGAGCCCCACTAAGTATCATTGCTGCTGTTATGTGCCATCCAGTCAGGACTGACTCACAGCTGACTCTCTAGGTTTTCAGAGGCTTCAGTTGCACAGGAGAAGATTTGACCGTCTTTCTCCCTTGGAGTAGTAACGGGTGGATTTGAACCACGTGCCCTTTCATTGGCAGTGCAACTCCTTCCCCACTGGACCACCAGAACACTGCATAACGCCACTGTTGGAAAACAGGACTGCCATGGGGGCTGGGGGAAACTGAGAAAAGAGGCGATGAATAACAAACACTGCATTTAAATAGATGAGGGAAAGAACTGTCTAAAAGGAATACATTAGGTATTATTTGCATGACAACAGTCCAGAGTTATTCCCTTGAGATACCTGTCTATCTAACATCTATCTATCTATCTTTTATCTGTTATCTATCAGCTATCTATTTTCTATCTATATCTCTATATCATTTATCTATCCATCCATCATCTATGTATCTATCATCTATCTATGTATCTATATATATATCATCTGTCTATCTAAATCTATCTATTTTCTTTAAAATTTTTTATTTTATTACTTTTGTGTATGTGTACCGTCAAATCAGATCTGACTGGTACAGGAGGAGATTGGCCCTCCTTCTCCAGCAGAGCACCTGGTGGATTTGAACCTTGTGCCTCTAGGATTGCAGTGCAGCTTCTTACCACTAGACCACGAGAGCTCCCTTAAGTCTATCTATCTAAATCTATCTATCTTCTATCTATCATCTATCATGTATCTTTTTCTCATATATGTATATATATATATCCCTCATATATAGCATATGTATACATATATATAGTTTTAATTTTTTTTGTTCTTTTTTACCCCACTGTCTGTATACAAGGGAGCTTTGATGCCTTAGCAGTAAGAAATTGTATTGACAACTCAAAAGTTGTTGTGTACCATAGAGTTGGAACCAATCCCATTAATCTCAAGGGTGATTGTTCAGCCAGTGGGATTCGAACCATGTGCCTTTGGGACTGCAGCGCAGCTTCTTGACACTAGGGCTACCAGAGCCCCCTGACCCAAGCATGTGTAATTCAAATCCATTAGCTGCTCCAAAGAGAAACATGGGCAGTCTCCTCCCACGCGCTTTATAGTCTCTGAAAACACCGCTGGAGCGTCAACTCTGAGCAAGTTGTGACTCAACAGTACTCAACAATATGTCTGTCGTCGTTGTTAGGAGCTGTGGAGTTGATTCTGACTTGCAGAGATCCTGTGCACACCAGATATGGGAGACACACACACACACACACACACACACACACACACACACACACATTGGGTTTCCTTCTCTAGAGAATCCGGCCTCAGACAATGAATGTCAGTGAGTCATTTCTGTCTCGCTGTGACGCCACGGACAAGAAGATAGACCCCTGCAGTCTTGCACCGTCCTCATAATTGCTGCCATGTATAAACCCACCACCGCAGCCCTGTGTCAGTCCACCTTGTGGGGGGTCTTCCTCTCCTGTGATGACCCTCCTTCCACGTTACCACTATGTCCTTCTCCACCAACTGACCCCTGCTGACCATATGTCCAAAATACAAGAGGCAGAGTCTCATGATTCTCACCTCAAAGTAGCAGTCTGGCTAACCCTCTTCCAGACAGATAGATCCCTGTTTTTGCAGCAGCCCACAGTGTATCCAATACTCTTCACCAACAGCCCAATCCAAGGGCATCAATTTCTTCATTGGTGTTTCTTATTCAATTAATTGACTATTAATTAGACAATGAATATATCTCCAAGGCCAAGACTGTGCTTATGTACATGCAAAAACAAAACAAAACCCAAACAAACCAAAGCCTAAAACTGTACCTATGTTATGGAAGAAATGGGAGATTCTGAACACTCAGCACAAGTTTAAAGACCAACAAAACTTTACTGCATGTGGTTGAGAACATCAGCTAATGCTCAAGTCTTTCTGACCTGGAGGGGAAGCAAAGATTGGGTTTCTATACAGAGTCTGGGCATGGGGGTTATGCAAAGTTTATTGTGGTTGGCAGTTGAGACTTCTTCACCTTTGGGAGTTGTTGTTTTTGACTTCTCACGGAAGTCCAGGCCCTGAGCCAGGTGCAGAGGGAGAGGTAACCAAGCTGGGCCAGCTTGCACTAGAGCATAAAGCTTAGTAAAACATGTTCTTGTCAAAATGATTGAGGCATACATTTCTCAAAACGGCTGTCAGAACAAAGTGGTTTCTTTAATGCTGACATATAAAGTGGCTTTTTAAATTCTTACCATATAAGTTGCTACTTTATATAACTACGATTAACACACCTATTACATGTCTACATAACTACACCTATATGTCTGATTTACAGTTTGAGTATTCTAATGGACTGGGTAATTGCTATGCATCAGAAAGCTGGACAGTGATGAGGGATGATAGAAGGAAAATTGAAGCCTTTGAGCTGTGGTGCTGGAAAAGAGTGTTGAATATACCATGGACTGCTAGGAGAACAAACAGGTTCATCCTGGAGAGGGTGAGACCAGGCTGCTCCTTGGAGGCAAGAATTCTGAAGCTTCGCCTGACATACTTTGGATATGTTGTAAGGAGGGACAGGTCCTTGGAGAGGGATGTCATGCTCGGGAGGGTGGAAGGACAGCACAAGAGAGGAAGACCCTTGTTGAGGTGGATTGACTCAGTGACTGGGGTGATGGGGGTAGGTGTCTCAGAGACAATAAGTTTGGCTCAGGATAGAGCAGTGTTTAGGGCTGTTGTACATAAGGTTGCTATGAGTCTCAGGCGACTTGACAGCATATAACAACAACACTGTACTGGGGTCAGAGATCTTAATGCTATTCAGTAACAATGACTTTTGGAAACACTTGTTTTCGTTTGCACACGGCTTGCCTATCTTCATTAATTGATGCTGTTGCTTTTATAGTTGCTCATCTGCCAGATGTTCTGGGTCAGATACATGGTGGTGATGGGTGTGACATCATGAGTTTCTAAGTCAAGTGACACCAACCCCAGTGGGAAGGAATCAAGCTACGCAGAGCCACCAGCAGCAGGCTAAGAGGCAGGACTCTTTTTAGAGTCCTGGGGGTCCCGGGACACCCTAGAAGGGTGATGAGCACAGAGGTAGGGTCAGCCCTGGAGATATAAAGGGACACACATGGTGGTGGTGACTGGAGATGACGGTAAACATCTGGGAGCATAAATCCCTCATGGAGAGAGAGGCAAGGATATGAACCCGTCCTCTCCCATCCTGCAATTTTTCACTTTGGCTTTGGCTATAAAAACTTAAATTCCTTTTCTGGAGCTTGAAACGCGGGAATTGGTGGCTTAGCCTGAGAAAATAGTCCAACACCGCCTCTATGTGGTCTTTTAGAGTATCGCAAGGAAGTTAATTTTCTTTCTCTCTTTATTTCTCTCTCTCTCTCTCTCTCTCTCTCTGTTTCTCTCTCTTTGTTTCTCTTTCTCTCTCTCCTCTCTCTCTTTCTTTCTCTCTTTTTTTCTCTCTCTCTCTCTCTTTCTCTTTATTTCTCTCTTTCTCTCTCTCTCTTTCCCTCTCTCTCTCTTTCTCTTTCTCTCTCTCTTTCCTTCTCTCTCTCTTCCCCTCTCCCCCTCTTCTTCCCCTCTCTCTTCCCCCCCGTCTCCCCCCCTCTTTTTCTCTCTTTCTTCTTTTTTTTTCCCAGGCCCCTCATACCTCAGCGCTGAGAGTCCTCAACTTCAGATCATCTTGCTCAGACCTTGGAGCCTGCCTGCAGCCTCCGCTCTCTCAGGCACCTTCTTCACCACAGGGTCCACGCCCCTCCTCCCTCTGACCCAGGGGTCTGGGCCCCTCACTCTCAGACTCTGAGTCCCTTCCCTCTGTAGACCCAAGAGTCTTGGCCCCCTCCTCCCTCAGATCCAGGAGCCCTGGCCCCCTCCTCCCTCAGATCCAGGAGCACTAGCCTCTTCTTCCCTCAGATCCAGGAGGCCTGGCCCCCTCCTCCCTCAGATCCAGGAGCCCTAGCCCCTTCTTCCCTCAGATCCAGGAGGCCTGGCCCCCTCCTCCCTCAGGCCTAGGGGTCCAGGGCCCTCCTGGTCAGACCTGAGGGTCTGGACCCCTTTTCTTCAGACCTAGGAGTCCAAACCCCCTCCTCTCTCAGGCCCAAGACTCCTGGATCCCTCCTTCATCTAAACTACAAGTCCTGGCCTCCTGCCTCGTCAGACATGAGAGTCTGGGGGCTCCCAGCCCCACCCACCCCCAGACCTAGGAATCTGGGCTGGAGGTGGGAGGAGCGGTTATGCTGATTCAGTCACATTTATTTGACTCAGAAGTCAGGGACATGGGATGCTTGGATGGGAGTGCCCGTGGTCTTCTCAGTGCTGAACCTGAGGGAGAGAAAGAGAGAGAGAGAGAGAGTGGGCAGAGAGCTAGGTTACGAAGGAAGGGCCAGAGGGCCAGAGGCCCGCCTCCACTCCCCACTCACCCCCAACCCTCACCTTGTTGAAGAAATACAGGGAGGTGATAATGGTGAGCGCAGCCAAGGCCAGAGTTACATTCTGATGGGGGGAGCGGTCAGAAGTCAGCACCCTGTCCTCGCCCCTGGCCCAGACCTCCCTCCCCCCAACACTCGGACCCACTCCTTACTTCCTGGAGGTTCATATCCATGGTTCTTTGGCTGAAAGGCTCCCACCACCACCCCCTTTAGCTTCTGTCTACCTTTCCTGGGTGTCTGAGTCTGGGAGAGGGGGTTGTCCAGGGGAACTGAATGGTGGCCATGGCAACAAAGCCATCATTGTGTGACAAGAGGGAAGGACATTCTAGGAGAGGGCACACCTACCACCCCACCCCCACCCCAGCCAGGCAGAGGCTGGGGGTGGAGTGGGGAATGAAGGCTTGACTGAATTTGGGATTCGGACGTATGGGGACTGAATGGTGTGGATCTGTGACACCCCACTGTCCCTTGGCCCTTTACAGATGGGCACTGCGGAGGGCTGTGAGCAGAGAAGGGACAATTGTTCAGTGCCATCAAGTCATTTCTGAACCCACACGCTACAGAATAAGGCCCTGCCAATCCTGAACCGTCCTCATAACCACTGCCCTGTTCAAGCCCATTGTCATAGCCCTGTCAGTCCATCGAGTTAGGGAGGTCTTCCTCTTTTTTACTGACCATCCACTTTACCAAGCTCGATGTCCTCCAGAGCCTGGACTCTCCTGGTCTCATGCCCAAAGCACACAAGTTGAAGCTTTGCCACCCTCTAACGTTCCCTTCCTTCTGAGGAACCTTCCAGAAGCACGTTCTCCAGGACGATGTTCATTCTTCTGGATCTCTCACCTCACCGCCATCGAGTCAGAACCAGCCCAGAGCTGTAAACCACACAAGAGGTTGCCCATCTCTCTGCTTAATAGCACCTGGTGGATCCGAACCGCCTACCCTTGGGTTGGCAATGCAACTCTTTACCCACCAGGCCGTGAGAGTTCCCTGGGCATATTTGTAAACCTTCACTCAAAGAAATAATAATGAGA